GTCCGTTGTCTCGGTGCCTGTGTAGTCGTGGTCCTGAGTAGTGTCGGTGCCTTCAGTGCCTGTCATGTCCGTTGTCTCGGTGCCCGTGTGGTCGTCGTTGGTGGTATTCTCGGAAGTAGTATCAGTGCCTGTCATGTCCGTTGTCTCGGTGCCCGTGTAGTCGTGGTCATGAGTAGTGCCGCTACCTTCAGTGCCTGTGTTGTCGTGAGTAGATCCCGAGCCTTCGGTAGCGGTACTGGTTTCCTCGTACGTCGTAAACGTGGCAGGAGCATTAGTCGTGTCTTCAGTCGTATAATCAGTGGTCGGGTCAGAATAGGCGGTCTGAGAGCCCTCAGTGCCAGAGGAGGAATCTTCGTCGCCGGTTGTTGATTCGTCGGTTGTTGATTCGTCAGCAGCGGCTGCCTTCTTTTCGTCAACTGCCCATTGGTCAGCGGCCTGCTCCCCGTCAGCACCGATCTCCTGGTCAACGGGCAGCCATGACCCCTCCAGGTGGTCGCTGAGGCCAACGGAGTCCACAGCTGAGAGAGACCGATGGCCGCCGTACGCTTCCGAAACTTGGACCACGCACGGATTGTCGCTGACGAGCCCACTCCTGACCGCGCCGTCACAGTCGTCAAAAGTGGGACTCAACATACCCTCAAACTCATCTTGCGTAAACGTTCGGCAAACACTGTCTTGGCTGAAATAGTTCCAGTAGACAAAGCGGTCATCAGTCAACATTAACAACCCACAGTCCGAAGGAGAAGCCACATCCGCGAAAGCCGTACCGGTCCTAGCAGTCCGCCCACCAACTACCGTGCCCCGCGACACCAGTCCAGCCTTCACGCTATCTGATCTGCAGTGCGAAGGGAACGAGTCGTCGCGGGAGAGGCAGGTCAACTGGCACTCCCTCCAAGCACTGTAGTTAACGAATATGGATCCAGTCAGTCCACAGATCTTCATATTTAAAAAGAGAGGTTCTAGAAAAATACAAAAAACCCCAACCGACCAATAAAAATCCACGTGTTGCAAGGATCAAAAGGCGGCGAAAAAATTATGGAGTACAACTCTGACAACATCTTCGCCAAAATCATCCGCAAAGAAGTAACGGTTTGGGCAAGCACGCGCTAACTCTTTGACTCCGTAGATCCCTGCTCATGTAATCTTCGAAACGGACGTTTCCATCGCCATATTGGATGCATTCCCGGCCACTGCGGGCCACTCGTTGCTGATTCCGAAATGCGAAGCTGTCACACTCGCCGACCTAGCAACCCAGGATCACCTATTCTGCGGGAACCTCATGCAAGACCTCGCACGCCTTAACAAAATTGTCTCCAGTTTCAGAAAGACAACGGCCGTTAACACCGTCGTGAACTCGCTTCCCGACTCGGGGCAACTCGTTCCCCACCTGCACTTCCATGTCCTTCCAAGGTCCGCCGGGGACAATCTGCTCCGACACCCAAAAAGCGCCGCGTCGATGATTAGCCCTGAGGAAGCAAAATCAGTTCTCGGCGATATGAAATCAACCTAAAAGAAACCGAAGCTGCAGGCTAGAGGAATCGCAAACTGTGAAACAACCACCTTCTTCGAATGAAAGACGGACTTGACGTTGTAACCACTTTCCGCGACATTGTCGAACGAGTGAAATGTTGGTCTTTGACATATTTTTGCCATGCCCTGCCGAATTCCTCGTTCGAGACACTGACAATCTCGAGGGACCCAGCTTTTTTGAGCGTCATTCCGAAGCACACACGTGTGCGCTGCTAAATGCGGCGCATTTTAGAGTCAGTCTGGGAGCCCTGAAGCACTATACTTGTATGGGGGGATGCTCTCTGCATCCATTCCCTGAAAAGCGCATGATGAAGTGCCTGAATTCGCTTACTGGAATTTGCTTTCTAGCCTTTTATAGAACAGATCCTTCTCGTCGGCATCCAAGCCCCGCGACAGGGTTTGCAGTTTCGTCAGCATCTCAGATTCCTGTCAGAATGTATGTTTTCAGAATTCTGTATTGTCAGAAAGAACGTGTCCAGAAAGCACGTGTTTCCCGGGATGCATTACCAGTTTATTTTTAGCGTCAAGGCTGTTTGCGTATTGTTCTGGAATGACGAGACTGCTTCTGGAAACAGCGTTGCCATCATGGACAGCCAGGAGTTGGAAGTCCTGGGGTTTAACGAGCTTAGTTGAGTCCTGGTGATCCTCGGTATTGCTGTGCGTCCTCGGAGTCAAAGCACGTCCGCCGGGCATGAGCGGCAAGGTCATGAACAAGCTGAATGCGGCTATAGTCACAGGAGTCAAGCTAGAAGAGCAAAGATTAGGGGCAGCTACGTGTCCTTACTCAAATGCACATTGCCTCATCAATTCTCTTTGTCCGTTCATCATGACGTTGTACGGGCCTAGTGCAATGTCCCGACTGTCCCCGGCGACAATAGGGGGAATGACGCCAGCGTAGAACACCTCAGTGTCGTAACAGTTGGTGATTCTGCAAAGAAGACCCTTCTTCGCTGTCTCTCGGCCTGATCACACATGAACAAGTTCATGTGTGGTCATGAACAAGTTCATGTGTGGTCATGAACAAGTTCATGTGTGGTCATGAACAAGTTCATGGGCGCTAAGGTGTGGCTTACATGATGCTAACAGCTGCGGCGTGAACAGTGGTGTTCATACAGTGCAGAATGTTCAGTGAAGTCCCTACCGCAGGGAGCACGACTATGCACCGGTTACAATTGGAAATGTGTACGGATCGGAACTTTGTATTGGCCACGATTGTCGAGTAGAAACAATCGACAATGCTCAGGTCGCCGGAGCTGGCAGCCACTTGGGGAAGAATGAAGAACACTTCCCGTCTTTTTCCGTAGATGAGCAAATGTTCGCAGGATGCGGCTCGGTAGCGCTTGAAGATGGGGGCCCGCGTTGGCCGTGTGGGCCGACTTAGCGCCGAGCAGGAGGTCACGTCAACGGACGCAATGGCCAAGGGCAATCCTTTGCTGAGAAATGCCCCGAATTTGCTCACCGAAATCACCGTAGATGTGTCCTTCACGAGCGTGTTCCACTCTTTGAATAACAGATTCTCCAATACTGTACTCGTGGCCGGTGACCGACGCCCTTCCTTATTGTGTCGCAGCTGCAACACCAATGCCAGGTAACGCAAATGCTGCGCTACAATTGCAGGTTCTTCCGGAGGATCTAAAAGAGACGGTCCTGAACCGATCTGCTCTCGCTTACGTTTGCACCCTTGGTTAACGTAGTCCAGCGCAGCGTCGAAGTGGAAGCCAATGATGCACAACAGCGTCTGAAAAACATGCGGTCGTCGTGGCCTGCCGCCACCGTCGTGTGCTCACACCTTGCGACATGTCCAAGAAGGTGGGTTTCGGTCATGGCTAACTGTGTCAGCTATCGTGCAGGACATGTTGCGTGAGAGTTGCTCACGTAGACACTGTCGTTGAAGGTTTCCCGTAGCACGTGGGCTAGCTCATCCGTGTCCTCAGTTTGGGACGTTGAGTGTTTGTCCGGACTGTTGAAGCCGTTGGCGCCGTTGACGGCTTCGATGAGCCCGTCACTGATGCTCCGCGGCCGTTGAGTGGCCCGAGGTGACATTTCATTCTTGGCCGCGTTGAGTATAGCCGCTTTGTTGCTGTTCACTTGGGACTGGCTCAGCCGCGACCGGAAGGTGTACAGCCATAAGACCACGCAGAAGTACCGGAACTCAATTGCACAGTCCTCTAGCTGCTGCCGGGTGATGAAGCCGTGGCCCAGTCCCGGTGCCTGGCCCAGTCCGGGCCCCTGACCGAGTCCCGGTCCCTGGCCTGACCCGGGTTTGAGTACAATAGCTTCTCTTATGAATCCCTCGGTCTGAAGAGCGAGCAACTCGACAGCCATTCGATACCATAGTCCCTTTTTCAGTTGAGGGGGCATTTGCATCCGACTGTCCGGCAAAGCCTTTGCTGTTTGTGACAGCCAGTCTGACAAGGTCAAAGTAAGCGGCATACATGCTCGACTGAGCCCTGTCGGCTGCCTCACTGAGAGCGGCTTCAAATCAATATCTCGGTACTTTGTTTTCCACAACGTCTTGCACATGCCGCTCATGTACGACAACAACGAGGCCTCCGACGGCTTATTCGGCAACGCCAAATACACGTTGTCCAGCAACTCCACTCTTAGGTAATACACATGACCCCTCAATCCCCAAATATCTCTCATCAGAAAAACATGGTTAACGCCAAAGGTCTAGACATCTACCAGCTATGCGATTGCGCAGATCAACTATGTAACACCACCAGCACCAGGCCATCATTTTCCCAGCCCCCACGAGATCTGGAGCGATTTCCACGAGATCTGGAGCGATTTCCACGAGATCTGGAGCGATCTCCACGAGATCTGGAGCGATCTCCACGAGAACACCGCCAGAACACCGCCACTTTTTTAGTCATCAACTGTGCACCGCAACTGGAGGTGCTGATGGAAGCGCAGAATCATTCACATTCACAGCTGACAAGGTGAGCCAGACGTGTTGAATTCGTCACGAATTTTAGGATACTACTGGAGATTGCAGGTAACACAACTCAATCGTCAGCATATCAACAGATCGAACAACTTACAAAGGTAACTCCCCACTGTCTAAGGTTGTGAAATGACATTCCTACTCACTCTGTTAAG